CACTTAATACATGTTTAAGATTTAGTGCTTGCAATATGTTTAGATGATCTAGGTATTCCATTAGAGTTAATGGATGGTTACATTAGTTTGAACCAATGATCTCTCATTTTTTTAGATCTATGTGCAGAATAATTTTGTTATGTGCACCAATATGAAGGTGATGTGTCACACATCACCTCCATATTGGTGCACATAACAAAATTAATGTGGTGGGGCGAGGGGTTTGGAGTGTGGGAGGGGGCTCAGTGCTGGGGCAGAGAGTTGGGGTTTGGGGGGCATGAGGGCTCTGGCTGGGGGTATGGGCTCTGGGGTGGGGGCCAGGGATGAGAGGTTCAGGGTGTGGGAGGGGGGCTCAAGGCTGGAGCAGAAGGTTGGGGTTTGTGGGGATGAGGGCTCTGGGGTGGAGCTGCAGATGAGGGGTTCACAGTGCGGGAGGGGGCTCAGGGCTGGGGCAGAGGGCTGGGGCGTGCGGAGGATGAGGGCTCTAGGGTAGGGCTTGGATGAGGGGTTCAGCGTGTGGGAGGAGGCTCAGGGCTAGGGCAGAGGGCTGGGGTGCGGATTCTAGGGTGGGGCCAGAGATGAGCGGTTTGGGGTGCAGGCTGCCCCCAGGCTGCGGTGGGGAGAGAGAGGACTGGGGACAATCCCCAGTCCTCTCTCATTGCAGCAGCTTGGGGCTGAGGGAGGGGTGCCTCTCCCCACCACGGAAGGTCTGAACTGGGGCCGGCCAGGAAGGGCGCCTCTCCCCGCCGCAGCCATGAGCCACTGCAGAGGGCTTAATAGGCAGCTACGAGGCCGTGTAGTTAGAGGGAACTTAGGTTTGAACATATTAGGCAACTGAAAATAAGTTTGTTCCATGATACTGTATTTCGACTCCACCTATTAAACCCAGGTTGAAATTACAGGCAGCTCCCCAACATCTATGGAGAAAGAATGAACTATATTGAAAGGCAAGAGTACAACTGCGACCACTAAGAACTCAGACAGATGCTGTCCACTTGTCTAGGAGAGTGGCAAGATAAAATTATAACCAGGGTTTCTCATACAGTTCTGTCCCACTTCTTTTCCTACCCTCACACATTCCGCTGCTCTTTACCGTCATTTTAACTCAGTTTAAGGTAGCACCAAAATAAATACACTAATCCAAGATTCACACTACTCACTTTTGGGTATACTTCAAACCTAGTGATACTCTTCTCTTCCCTCCCTCTTCCCCAGAGGAAGAAAGAGAGAAGTAAGTTGTCAAGCTATGGATTTTGTGGCCTGAGCTCTCCTTGTGCATTATATGTGCCCACTTCTTCCTCCTGCAGTGGAGTATAAAGCCAACCCATGGCACTTGCTACCACAAGGAACTCCATTTTTTCCTCCCCTTCCTACCACCCATTTTCAGTGACTTGCCTCATGCTTCTTAAAAGCAATTCAGGTAGTGGAATTAAGCTACGAATGGTCTTCCCATTCGGTTTGGATGGACGGGGAAGCTTCTGAAGGAGATCTTGACTGCAAGAGTCACTTCTTCGACTTGTGCTTAAAGAGAGTGCTGTTATAAAAAGGTTTCAGAGTAGCAGCCGTGTTAGTCTGTATCCGCAAAAAGAACACGAGTACTTGTGGCACCTTAGAGACTAAATTTGTTAGTCTCTAAGGTGCCACAAGTACTCCTGTTCTTTTTGTTATAAAAAGGTTATCTTTCGAAGCACATCTTAAGACGTGGAAGCAATTTTCCTTATCTCAGATAGTGCATAGGCCCCTTCCTTGATTTCTGCAGGAAATCCCACAGCAACTACAAGTTTCCTCACAAGTATGGGTCCATGCAGAAGTGAGGAAAGTCCTATACAGATACAATTAAAAAAAAAAAAAAGTAGGCAGGGACCTTTCCTCAGAGGGGAACAAGCCCCCTTGGTAGCCCTGCATTTGTATGGAGAATACAAGGAATAGCCCCTGTACACACCATGTATCTATTTTTCTGTGCACAAGGGCTCCTTGTATTCCCTTGGTGACCCAGTTTTTATGCACCTGTAGGATTGTTCTAAAACTGTGGTTCTCTACCAGGAATCTGGGACCCCCTGGTGGGGCCACAAGCAGGTTTCAGGGGGTCCACCAACAGGGCTGGCATTAGATTCACTAGGGCCTAGGGCAGAAAGCTGAAGTCCCGCCATGTGGGACTGCAGCCCGGGGCCCCGAACCCTTCCACCTAGGGCTGAAGCCGAAGCCTGAGCAGCTTAGTTTTGTGTTGCCCCCTATGCTGTGGGGCCCCAAGCAGTTGCCCTCCTTGATACCCCTAACAACCCAGGTTTTTATATGCAGAAAACAGATGTGGCACAGATGGGCCAGGAAATTTTTATAGCATATTGGGGGAGGCCTCAGAAAGAAAAAGGTTGAGAACCCCTGTTCTAAAAGATGACCACCACCTGGTTATTATGCAGAGCACCTAAGTCCCCCAGGCAGAAGATGTGGGCAGTCAATTTCCCCAAGCTCTCTACACCTTGAGGACGATCTTGTACATCATGGCCCTGAACTCCAGCAACCATTCTATCCTCTCACCAGGAAGTCATTATGCCATGAGCCCCAGAACACTGGGGTCTCCATAATAAAGATGTAAGCATTGACTGAAGGCCCAACCTGTCCTCCAGTGTTCCAATCGGGGTGCTCTTAATCTTGAAGAGATCACTCAATGTCCTCAACAGACCCTGGGGCAATCTCCTAGATACATCTCCACAAGTCTTTGGTGTTAAGATTCCCCCTATTTGCTTAAAAGTGTCCCCCAAATTATAGCTTTAAACTCCTGTAATACAGGGGGACCTCCCCCTCATTTTCAGGGTCATCCTCTAGGAAAGGATCCTCAACACCCACTCCTCATGGTGGAGATCCTCATCTCCCTCTCACTGCCTTCTTCCAAATATGGGGCCCCCCCAACTCCCCTGAGGGTGTTCTCATCATGGTTTCCCAGAACATACCTATTACCCCCTTCTCCTCTAGGTCTTCGAATTCGCTCCAGAACCCCTCCATGGGTGTCTGGGCTCTTTGAGAACATCCTCTTGGATGATAATCCAGAAACCCAGGAGGGCCTGTACTCCACCTCACCTATAGGCTCCCCTCATTCATGCACGGAACCCCCGTACCCCAGCAGCCCCAAAGGGCTGCGCCTGCTGCCCGATGGCGGCCCAGAACGCCATCAGCCCAGGAACTCTTTGTCCTGCATGGGGTCCCCTCCAACCTTGTCCCCACCCCCTTGAAGGCTGTTCTCAGGTTGGCCCGACCTCCAGCTGCTGTTGCACCCCGTTCTCTGTGGCAGGGTCAACCCCCGGCCCCGGGCTCCAGCGCCCCCTCTGCCCCAGCCCGGGGCTCGCCCCTACCTTGACCATGTTCTCGTAGATGATGGCCCGGAACTCCAGCAGCGCCTTCTGGTCGAACTCGCGGCCGTGGATGATCCGCATCTGCTTGAGGAACGTGGACTTGCCGCTCTCGCCGGCGCCCAGCAACAGGATCTTGACCAGGCGGCGCACGGCGCGCCGCTCCCGGGCCAGCATCGCGTCGATCTCCCGGCTCCGCCGCCGCGCCTCCCGCTCCGAGTCCCGGCTCCGCTCCTTGCCCTCCCGCCGCGGCTCCCCGCGGCCGGGGGCTTCGGCCGGCAGCAGGCAGCGGCTCAGGGTCCGCACCACCCCGGACATGGCTGCTGGGGAAGGGGACGGGATCGGCACTCACAGCCGCGGGGACCCCACCAGCGCCCCTCGCACCGGGCGGAGGCCAGCCAGACGCTCGGAGCAGCCGCGGCTGGGGGGGCTAAGGGCCAGGACCGCCCATTCCCCCGCTCCGCGCGGCGGCGGGGGGACGCTGCAAGGGGAGGGGTGTGGCGCAGGGAGCCGCTGGCCTGGAGGGGAGGGGGAGCCGGAGGGGCGCGGCCCGGAGCGGGGCTGGTGCCGCGGCGCCCCTCAGCCCGTGGCGGCGGCGCGCGGTTCAGAAGCCCAGGAGAACTGGCCA